AGGGTGACCTGGACTCAGCAGGAAGAAGTCAACTGAGGACCATAGCTTCCCCACCACTGGCACCACTGAGGAAAAACACCGCATGACCTCAACAGCTCTGGTTTGGTGCTGGCCCACAGCAAGATCTCCCTCTTAGGACCCCAGCCAGAGACATTCCAGGGAAAGGAGCCTGTCCTCTGGCCTCCGTCAGTGCCAGGGCCTGGCTGGGGATGCTGGATGAGACATGCAGAAAGATGGGGCCCCTCTTTCTCCCTGAGTCTGCTCTTACAGGGAGCAGTCCATGCTCAGGAGACCTGTCAGTCACAGAAATGAATCTTCTATCCCAAAAAAGAGGGTCAGTGGGGCTGGGAGCCACCTCAGAGCTCATCTTCTCCCAATTTACAGCAGGCACTGTAACCTTGACCTTACACAGAGCTTGACTGGTCACAGAGCCTGGGCTTACACACTAGAGGCATAGGGAGCAGGCTCTGCCGCTGGCTGAGCCTAAGCCTGTCTCTCTGGCCCTGACTCCACCCTGAGGGGCCCCAGGAAATCCAGTCTGCATTTCTCTCCCCCATGGGACAGGCCCTCTTGGCTAAAGAGATATCCTCCTCCTCCCTGCCTCCAGCCAACTTCTTCTAGTTTACTTCCAATGCAGAGGTGCCCTGCTAGCTCCCCAGACACTCTGATTTCTCCTGTGTTTCCATAGGGGCTGGGCTTTGCATTTATTGGTCTTAAAGATAAATAAAGCACCTAATGAAATCCATAGGCTTTTTTATCTTCTCTCCTCCCCCAGGAGAGAAGGGAATGGGAGGCGGACCTTCTCCCTCTCTGAAAACCCCCAGGCTGGCGGGAGGGGGGGTGGGGTGCAGGAGGCAAGCTGAGGCTAAGCGCTGCCCTTCCTTATTCCCTCAGGCTGGCGCATGAAAAGCAGCATCTTAACCTTTTCCAGCTCCCTGAGGAGAACATCCTAGAAGTGTGGTCTCTGCCAAGGGTTCCTAAAGCCTTTAATTTGATTTCCCTCACATAGACAATTGTTGTAATTATTCTGATTAGGAATCATTACCCAGTGCAGCCTCTGCACCCGACAGGGACAATGGATCCAGTGGCAAACTGCAGCGGGGCAGGCAGGCCCAGCCGGACCTCCTGGAGGAGCTAATAGCAAACAAAAGCCATCGATGGGGAGTTCTGGGTGAGTTAATGAAGTGCTCACATGCCACAAGAAGCCAACACTAAAGCCAAACAAAAACACCTCCAGTCCCCAGGGCTAGTCCTATAGTGCCACAGCTCAGCTCCCCTAGTCCCCAACCTGCCCAGCACAAGCTATGGGCCAGGAGTGGGTGGAGGTCCTCTGCCGGACTCCAGGCAGCACTAAGACATCTTGCCAGTAACCCTGACAGGAACAGCTGGAGATGACAGATCAATGGTTCAATACTCTCAACAGCATGTCACTGATGTGACAGCAAATGTTATTCTAATCAAGCCATAATCATAGTCAAATTACACGGCTACATTCTCAAGAGGGGAGGGAGAGCAAGGCAGCAGGAAAGGGTCAGAGGTCATGAATTAAAGGTCACCCCACCTACCTCCAGCACTTGCTGCAGGGTTGGCTGACCATCCACCATGGCTTGAATAATCCCGGTGAGCTGAAAGGAAAGAAAAATAGCCAATGGGTGGAAAACCTATGTGCAGGGATTCAAAGCTGGACTACATCCTTTCCGTCCTATTTTTCTCCTTCTACTATAAAAGACTCTAACCTGCACTGCGTTAGGCTCAGAAATTGACAGGAGCCCCGGGAATAAGTCCCAGGACACAATGTAAACTTCCCCCACAACATCCTGCCCTGAAATGGAGATACACATCTACATGCTAACTATGGGGTGTACCTCATACCTGCTTCAGCTTTAATTTTGTCACACACACAAAAAAAAGACTTTATGTATCTTTTGTATTCAGTAACTCCCCACAAATTAGTCTAAAGTAAATTCACCTCCAAGCTTCACAGAAGCTCCCATAGAACTTAGAGAATGTTTGTACAGGACAGACACTCTTGGTTTCAAGTCCACTCCCTCTCTGAGCCTCTATGTCCAGCATTTCCCCCTCTAACATCAGTGAAGGGCCAGGGGAACCCCACAGGCATCCAAAACTTGCACCCTGCATTCCCAGATCCTCAGTACCAACTAGTCAAGCAGGAAACAGGCATTTTTAACCAATGGGGAAACTCAAACAAAAAGGCTTATCATACAAACTTGATCTAGAGATTTTCTGACTCATGGGCTTGTGCTCCATCCAGGTCAGGCCTAGGTTCAAACAAGCTTGTGGCTTTGCTTTGTTTTGTTTTGTTTTGAAGTGAAAATATCCCTGAAGCACAGACTCAACAGACTGCCTTGAGGATCTGAGGCAGGAGGCCCCATCCACACATCTGGGCCAGCTGGAAAGCACCACGCCCAGTGTAGCCCTGGCTACTTCCAGGAGAGCAGCATGTCAGGCTTGCTTGGAAACTTTCTTTTTTTAAGTGTTGGGGGGTGGGGGGAGTTAAATTCCAATTAAATCATAATTACATTTAATGAATATCAAATACCCAACTCACAGGAACTGCTGGCTCTAAGAGGGAAGGTTATTTTCTCATAAAGACTTAAATGGAATGATAATACACACCTTTTAGGGAAGAAATTTTCATTTTAAGAATGCTGAATTCCTCTAGGTGGGTTTCTGTAGTTCATCAAGTCATTATTAGGTGGTATTTTAAGGAAGTGTAAGGACACAGCCACTCTATTTTATATTCCAGAAACTGTTTTTATATTAATCTGTATTTTAATTGGGTAACAGCTGCTGCCTACAGACTTCCCATGGTCTAAAAGAAAAATAAATTAGAAAGATTAACTACACTGTTGTTTCGCAAGGCTTTAACCCACAGCATGCCCACCCGGCTGGCACCTTCACACCCTTTCCTTGCATGGGAGACCAAAGAATTGCCCAGCAGAGGGAGGGCCTGAGCCAAAGAGAAGAAAAGATGGTCCACTGAGGGCTGGGGGGCTGGGAGGCTGGGGAGGCAGGGGTAGGGAAGATCCCTGGGTCAGCAGCTTTCATCCTGGAGTGCCAAGATTTTAGTAAGCAACTGTCCATGAAGAGCCTACAACATACTAGGCCCTTTTTAGGAAACAGAGATTGAGCAGTGAAGAAAAACATAAATGCTGCCTTCCGGAATCTGCATTCTTGGCAGCCCCCTCCTATGCCCAGGCCAGCTAGCACTCAGAATCTGTACACCTTCCAGAACTACATATTGAGCAGGCAGTTGCCCCATGTTTTGTCTCAGGGACTTAGGGGCCAGAGTCTGGAGGAGGCTTGTGACCAGCTCCTGGTCCAACATCCAGATGACTGACTGTCACCCACAAACCCATAACTGCCCTTTCTGACCCGGCTTCTTTCCTGCTTAGTTCTTCCAGGGTCGAGCCACATCCCCAGGCTTGGAGGTGGATACTCAGAGGCAGGACTATATACTGGAAAACCCAGGGCCACTCTTACTTCTTGGAAAGCTGCAGGGTCAGTGAGCCAGTCTTGTGTCTGGTCTGAGTTTACTGGGGCAAGGTTAGGTTTACCCCTTCTCTGGGCTCCCACCAAGGGTCATTCATATGAGCTAAAAATACCGAAGGGCTTCCAGAAAGTCTCACTCACACAGGAAACTAATGGTACCCTTGCCAAGAACCTTCCCTCCTTGGAGATGGGACTTAGGTTAGCATTTGTGTAACCCATAAGACCTGCTCTGCACCCCTGGAAAATCAATGATGTGGAAAGAGAAAATCATTGCACCAAAAAAGAAAACTGGGCCCTGCTTTCTGCAGGATCTCCTACTACAGACTAGGCTGCCTCTTTCCACCCAGGGGGTAGGGATGAGGGTGGGGGTGAGGGTGGAAGTGGAGGGCTTCAGGACCCTGGGGCTTCCTCACACTGCTCTCTGGTGGTCAGCAATCCTAGAATCATCAGCCTAGGAGAAGGCTGGTAAGCTCAGCTCCCTCTCTCCATGATTCCCAGACCATTTGTGGTCCAGCAAGACAGGGCTTACAGCTGAGTCCCTAAAGGTTTGAATTCAACCCCCAGAGACACAGGGGTTTGAGCTATTGGTTCAACTAGAGGCATCCTTCCAGGGGAGGCCTTATTCTCCTGTATTAATCCCTCCAAGGATGGAGGGATCTTATCAGCTCTGCCAAGGCACTGGATGAAGAGGGAGTAAAATTCAGAAAGTTAGTTTCTGTACCTTATATTGACAACTATAAGATGCCTGTAAGATTTATACCAGAACCTGCAGGGGAGAGAGACAATTTAATCAAATAAATACTCGTAAGTTCTACCTCAAGAATAACTTAAATCCTTCATGCTGCAGCCTAAACCCATTCCCACTTGGGTTAATACATATTTGTAAAAAAGCTTTCACATCCTCACAATGAAAGGTACTAGAGCAAAGCCAAGTATTATTAAGCTGAGAACAAGGGCTCACAGGCTAAACAGAGCTCAGAGACCTTAACCACTTAAAGCAGGAGAGGTGAGAGGAAGAATTAATGTGTGCTCTGTGGCTCTTTTCACCGAGGGATTACAGATTAACTCCCGCTTCTCCAGTCTCGGAAATCACAAGGCGAGGGGCTTTTGACCCTGACTGATAACATAGTCTGTACTGAGATCCCCCGCCTACACAAGGGCTTTTGTCCAGGAAAGCACTGGCTTCATCACAAACATGAGCAACTACAGGAAGCAGCCCAGGACACTCAGTGCCAATAGCATGTCAGCATCCAGTGCTTTCTCCTTTCAGTTTATCTCCAACACAATCGTATTCTGACACCAAGACAGTTTGTTGATTACATAAGCACTTGTCTCTGGTGTGCAATCTGATAATCAGACCCACTCTTTCTCCTCAGACAAAGAGACCAATAAATCTTACCCTTTATAAGTACAGGTGCAAGACAAAGCCCTTTACTGGCATTTAACACAATGGGTATTTTTTCTAGTTTTTTCATGAAAATGACAACAAAAAGGACTGCACATGGTCAGGGACTGTACAGTGACCCAGTGGCTAGAGACAGAGATCTGATGAGTGGTGGTAGGGAAAGGGCTTGGGAAAGAATGAAACACATCCCATCCTATCTGTCAACCATGTCTCTAGGCAGACTATCAACTGGAACTATAAAAGGACCTCAAGGAGGCTAATAACATGTTCATTACACAGAGCAGTAAGAGTGTCTATATGTGGGCCCAGACTCACTCAAGGCAGATTCCATCTTCCTGCTGCCTAGCACTGAGCCTGTCTCCCTCCCCACAAAAGCATGTGCTCATGTGTGTACTCAAGTGTAATGTATGCACACATGCACACATATATACACAGAGGCCAGGGTTCTTTAGAACATCTTCTGCACAGGAGAAAATCCTACCATAAGAGTTGCTTAGGCACAATCTAGAGGTCTACCTCATTTTTACTATTCCTCATTCTTACTAATGAAAGACTCCCCCTGGCTGGAAAGACTTCCATCCCTACTCCCAAAGGCATTACTGCCAGGTTGGATGAGGTCTCAGAACGATGGCCCTCATCCTGTGTCTGTGCTTCTCTTTGCACTACAATTCCATCTGGTATGGAGACAGGCAATATTTTGATGATCTGAGGCTTTTGAAAGAAGACTTTACTTATTTAGAAGAGCAAGTCAGCAGTATAGTTACTTAGTTACTCTGGGGGGAAGCAAGGTGTACTTGAATAACTCTTTGAGAATATTCATTCATTTAAGGAACATGCATTATGTGTTTACTTGCTGCCAGGCCCTAAGATGGGACAGAGATGGATCAGACCCAGTTTGTGCCCTCAAGACACTCACAGTCTAGTAGGGAGACATATAAATAATTACAGTATAATGTATCTGATGGGTGTTGGGGTGAGCACAAGCCAGCCTGAGGCTTAGGGAAGGCTTCTCAGAGAAGGTGACCCTGAGCAGAGTCCTTGAAGACAAGTAGGCCTAGGGGGAGGAGAGCAGGAGCACCACACAGGCAGAAGGACCTTCGTGCACAGAGGCGAATTATGAGAGCACGACCTCTGGGTGAAGGGAGTGAAGGGAGATGAAGCAGGGATATATGAGGCTGGACAAAAGTCAGGGACCAGGGCAGGGAGCATTTTGAGCTCTGGAAGCCTGAGACAGAAGAGATTCAGTGCCAGCAGCATAGCTACATGTCACTTTTAGAACAGGTTTCATTACAAGGATCCCTGCACCACCATGCCTACTACCCTCCAAATTATGTGTGTGCTTGGGTGAAACCAAGAAAAAAGAAGCATAGCTTTCATCATAGTCTCAAAATGCCTCTTCCCCTCCCCACAAAAAGAAGCTGTAGCAGCTCTGCTCTGTAAAAGGTCTTTTTTCCCAAGACTCTTGAGCATCCACTCCTGCCCAGCGTCAAGTTCCAGCAGCACTGTTCTATCCCTAAATAGGTAGCAACCTTCCAAAAATTGGTCCTGCCTATCTACACCAAGCAGTCTAGCTAGAACTGGAGGCCCCAAGGGGGAGTCTCCACACAGAGAGGAGGAAGAGAAAGGCAGGACGACACTATACTTTCATGCCAGTGGAGGGCTCAAGTGACTGGCTGGCTTAAGTCTTCCCTTCCCTTCCCATAAAGAAGGGGATTTTCATCATTAAAATGATAATTTTTTTTTTCCAAAAGGGGCAAAAAAGACAGATTAGCACCTCCTGGTGGTACAGGTAATTCCCATGGGAAAGGGAGAAAAAAAATAGACCCCAGAGGGAGCAAGAACCTTAACATCAATAGCTGGAACACCAAAAGGCTTGAGAGACTAGATACCTTGGCAGATGGACGCCTGTATCAACAGGGTCAAGCAGCAAACACTGCTGAAGCCCAGCAGTGACCCTCAAGACCTCATATCTATTAAGTAAGCCTCAGAGTCCACTGAGCCCTCCCACTAGTGGCAGGCAGACTCTTTCCTAGCCTCCTCCACCCAACAAGGTTGTCTGGGGATTACTCAAGAACTTCTTTCTTCCTGTTCCATGCATACATAAAAAAATTGGTCTTTAAATGAAGGCACAGTCTCTAATGTACTCCAGCTTCAAGTTCTTAAGATTTCAGAAATATTCATGTTTTCCCACCACCTCTGCTACCACCCATACTTGAATGGTGATTCCACCACAGCCTGTAGCCATGACAGAGTACATAACACAACACAGGGGAAAGCTGACCCAGTAGGCTTTTCCATACACTCCAGAGAGTCAGAAATCTTCAGGGCACCTCCTCTCTACCAATGGCTGTTTTGAGCCTCCAGTAAGCATCAAGATCCTAGTTAGTCCCAGTTTCACAATCTGTAAAATGGGGCCAATACTAACCTTCTGGCAAGGTAGCCAAGTACAGTACCAGACTAGGATAAGGATAAGGACATTTTAGCTTTTTCCAGGCTGTCCTCATACCCCATTAGGATTACCCTTCTCCTTCCTCAGTGACACAGCTGTGTTTACACAAACTGAACTGATGCTTCACTTAGCTCAAGAGCAGAAAAACATTAACAGAAAGCTAAGAAAGCCTGAGCATAACCTCTCCTTCCAAGAAGCTGAAATCTTCACCTCTTGCCAAGGAACTCTAAGGGAAATGGAACTGAAAAGAGGCAGAATGCCAGAAGCGTCATCTTGCTCCTAGATTCCAAGTGTCCCATCACAAGGGAGGGGAAATGCTGGGGAAGCTGGGACAGACTGTGCCACCTCTCCCTGGGTCCCCAGTGACAGAATGGTCTAAGTGGAGTGGCAGACTTGTAAAAAGCCAACTGCTGGGTCCAATGTGTGCCTGCCTTAACCACTGTTGAAACCTAGGCTTTCCCTACATGACATGTACAGAGCACCAATGATTCAAAAGCTCCTGCCCAGCAGCCCTTGCTGCCCAGATCCTGGGCCCTTACCTCTGTACAGAAGGGAGTAAGCTGCGGATGGACTACAGGCTGGACATACATGTGAAAGGTAGATTCAATCTCCATAGTCCGGCCATTTAGCTTCAAGATGGGGAACTCAATGATTTCCTAGAATGGCAAAGACACAGAAAAAGAGGAATAAGTTTTTTCAACCAACCATTTCAAATAAACTCAGAGTGAAGAACGAGTGAGTATTTTGGACCCATTAGCTCCTGCCAGCCCAAACCCAACACTGAGTGAGATGGTGCCAGCTCAGTTACAATCCTAACTCTCCCACTGTTAATATCCTCACAGGTTCCAGAGATTGTACACATACCCCACCCTTAGTGTCTCTGGAATGGAGAAGGAAGACAGTAGTACCATATGCCCCAGTTTCCCCACTGGTTCTCTAGCAGAGCCCCTAAAAGTAGGCCCCCCTTCCCCTTGCCTAGGCCTCTGCCCTGGAATGGGTCTGGATCTCCAGCCATATAGACAACCAGCCACCACACCGATGCTCAGACTTCTCCATGTGAAGTTTAAACAGAGGCAACGAGTTTCTTCATTAGTTTTTATAAAATAAATATATAAATGTTAATAATAATAAAGCAAAAGGGGACTCTAAAAGAAGGAGACAACAAAATAAGAGTAATAGGAGCTAGTACCTCCCACCTTTCTTTCAGGCAGTATACCCTCCCCCTGGTCTGCTCCCCCATAACCCCTACCAATCGCTTAGCCAGTCCTTCCCAGTCCACTGGAACGTAATGGAAGAGAAGGAGGAGGAGTGACAATTTGTTTGGTGTCTCTAAGATTAATCTGTCTCCGTTATTTAATAGAGATGCACAGCACCAAGGTCCTGGTGTGCAAACAGGCTTGCAGAACGTTGGCTGTGCAGCACGCCTCATACATCGCTCCTGGGAAGGGAGGAACGCACCAGAGGGGGGAGAGGGCAGGAGAAAGCACGTGTGCACCACAGAGAAGAGGGAAAGTGAGGAGAGAGAATAAAAAAAATTATTGCTTTTTAATATTCAAAAACAGTTTGCAAAATTTAATCAAAGCAGAGGAAAAGCTAACATTTTTACCACTTTGACATTTTTATTAGTGCTTTCATAAATTTTTAAAACATGAATGGAATTAGTTTACAACACAAAAAACTGCCCTGAAAACATCTGGAAGAGACAAATAGGAAATAATAAAATAAATAAATAAAAGCAAAATCCTCCAAGTAAAATTAGCATGTAGAAAAGGCCTCCACTGCAGTGAAAGAAGGGGGGCTTTGCCCACTCAATAGCCCCAGTAGTCAGCTCCACTGGCATCCCTACCCCAGATCCCCCATTCTGGGGAGGACCTTTCTAGTATCACTAGAATCAAGGCAAACTGGTTCTCTCCGGGGACAGCCTATAAAAGCAATACAGAAGCTGTTGACACCTGACTACACTCAGGAACTAGACAAGGGGGAAGATAGAAGGAGAAACAGCCAATCTCCTGGATATGTCAGGGCAGCCAGGTATCCTCCTCCCCAGACACACCAGGACTATCAGGCTTGTTTTTAAAGCATCTATTTTTAACACATTAGAGCAACACTGAAGACCAAATCAAGTCAGTCAGACTTCATAACAGAAAAATTCAAAGGTTCTGGTTGCCTGGTCTGCCTGGTCTGAACCCCAAAGATGGGCACACTGGCAGGAGCCCTCCAAGATAGGGAAGGCTGCAAGGCTTCAGCAGATAGGGGATGGAGAGGAGGCCCAGGCTGCTGCTTAGACTAAGGGATACTGTTCCTCCCAACTTGAAGAGAGGTGGGCACTCATCCCTCAATTCCCTGGGCCCCTCGTTCCCTATAAAGCACTAACAAAGCAGGCCAAGTACAGGAGAGCTGTGCTCTCAATATACTACATACATGTACACACTAAATACATATTGGTCCCCCTGAAAAAATCAGCTATCCAAGATTTCCAAGAGGTAACTCTGAGGTGGGGCTCATGTGAGCCCTTAATTTCTGATACATCCTCCTTCTCCCACTAAGTAGAAGAAACACTTCAACAGGAGCTCCAAAGCCTGGTGAGTTTGGCTGCCCCGCTGTCTAAAGAAACAAATACAGCCAGCTTCTCACTAACAATGTTAGCTGGGCCCACAATGAAATTTCACCTGTGACACAACTGTACTTTTCATTTAAACTTTCATTTGGAAAGAAGCAGTATTTGGAGACCTGCAGTTTGTCCTGCTAATAAAGACAAGTGTTGGGACCTTTAAGGATGCCATTCATCTCTGGCTTTTATTAAATTCAATTTTCTTAAGCCCATGATACATTATGAAATTAGGAGTTGACATTCCTCTAGAAACTAAAATATCTATCAAACATAAACAGAAAAAAAAGCCCTCTATTACCAAGAATTTATGGCTTAAAGTTGATCTCTTTCCACTTTTTTACAAGCACATGGTTTGTTTTAGATATCTGAAATGTTATTACAGATCTAGAATTTCATTAGTATTTATTATAAAATAGTAAGCGCTTCAGCTCCTGCTCTGACCAGCAGCAAGTCAGGATCCCCAGTAGATTCTCTGAAAACTTGGCCTCTGGGTTTCCCTATTGCAGTTCAGTCTTCAAACTTTACTGCTGCTGGCTTCCACCACTAGGAAAATGGAGCCAATTTAAGTGGTCACAGTCAGTATCAACCTCCCAGAGAGGAGGAACAAGCCAGCCTCAGCTCCGTACAAAAAGAGGGGTAGATCCCTGAAATGACTTGGGGGCCAGGGACACAGCAGTTTGGACCTATCATAAACATACCCCTCCACTGTTGCTAGCCCCTCAAGACAAAAATAAGGGACTTTCAAGGGCCAATCTGAGAACATGATTTTGCAGAGACCCTTCCTCAATACCATCAGAACTTTAGTAACAATGACTTCACACACTGGTGTATTCAGTTGAGCCACTGGTGATGCAAAAGAGGAACTTCTGAGAGAAAAACCCTCTGGGAAGTCAGAGCAAAAAGGACCTCATTTGGTTACTTCCTACCTTCCCATTTTGCCCCGCCAAGCCCAGAACCTGAAAATACTGTCCCCAAAAGCCCATCTTCTCCCAGATGGGAGAGGAGCCCCAATCTGTACCAGGTTGGCACGAGTCTGCAGCCAGTGCTGTGGGGCGTGCCAAACACTTCAACAGTGTTTAGCTGATAATGATTAGAGAGGTAACCTCAAAGTTATAGGCCAATCACATTAATTCCAGCCCAAGAGCTTAAGATGTGCCTAAGTGCCAGTTTCTAGGGGCAGTCACTCAGCTAATGAAACTTATTTATGCCCCTCCTCCTTTCCCTCCCTCGATTTCATCATCCCCCTGGGAAAAGTGTTTTTAGGAGAGCTGAGTTTCTGCTTGTGTAAAGGTAGCACCAGGAAGGAGAGAAGATCCAGTTTGTATTTTACGAGCCCTCTTTTCCTCCCCTAATAATAGTTTAATAATTCCTTACATTTGTAAGTCATTTGCATTCTATTAAACTACCTGGGCATCTGCTATGTGCAAGACACTGTACAGGTGCTGAAGTGGGATTTAGAGATAAGCTGTAGGTTCTGCTTTGGAGAAGTGCACAGACTAGTGAGTAGAAAAGATACTGAACAAATACCGAAGGCTGCCCTATGATAACTATCTTAGTAGAGGGACCTACAGAGTGTTAGGCTTTTCAATTTGCAGTGTGCTTTCAAATACATTTTCTTATCTTTCCCTTATTAATCCTGGAAGATAGGTCATATCATCACTATAACCATCGTGTCATAAACCAATACTATTAAGCACCTAGTATTTACAGGGCCCAGATGTAGACATAGAAACAAATACAATGGGATGTGGCTCCTCCATCAGAGGCACTCAGAGTCTGGGCAAGGGGCAGAGAGGAGGTGGCCCCAACACCCTGGGAGACATACGGAAAATGTATCATTTAATTGGAGACACGTAGAAAACATATCATTTAATTCCTTCCATTTATTGTTTACTATGTGGCAGACACTCTGCGACATGCTTAACAGGAATGATTTCATTGAATCCTCCTAACAACTCAAGAGACAAGCATCATTATCCCTACTTTACAGATAAACTAAGGCCCCAAAAGAAGTTATCACTTATTCAAGGTTAGTAAGGGACAAAACTGGGACTCCAAATGGGGAAAGTCAGACTTAAAGAGAGCAGGACTACCAGCTTTCAGAATCTGAAGGGTCAGGAAAGATTTGATTCTATTAGTCTGAAAGACTATCTTTTGGGATCTCAGTCAACTATCACCTAGGAAGAGAGGCTGCTCTTAAGTTACAAGAGCAGTGAATGTGTACTGTCCATGTTCCTGGAGTATTGCTAATGAAAAGCCTCCAACGATGGCCGCAGTGACACAGATGGCACTCCCATGAGCTCTCAGTTTGCATCTCCAGCACCCAGCTCCACTCTAGCATGGAGACCTCCCTCTCAACTTCTGAGTAACATAGGAAGGGGCTAATAAATGGCATACCAGAAGCCAAGCACATGGCTCTAACAGAAAACTCTTTCACAGAGCTCTCCATGGAACCTAAGAGATAAAGTGATCTTGCTAAGTGACAAAGATGTAGGTGGTGGAGCCAGGATTCAAACCCAAACATGTATAACACTCCAAAGCACCATCTACCTCACATCTCTAAATGGTTTCTCATTCTCCCCCAGCTGCTGCAAGCCAAGAACATCCCAGTTTTCTGTTTGTCCAGACTAAGGAACACAGGATTTTCAGTGCTAAAATGTCTTGGTACACAGGACTTTCAATGCTAAAATTGAGACAGTTGGTCACCCTACACTGTGCACAAGCTACAGCTAGGTTGTCCAAGGTAGAGCATCATAAACCTAAAAGGCTGGTCTGTTGATGGTGGATGGGAATTGGCCACAACTTGACAACTAAGGACAAAAGACTCAGAACTTGAATTTTTCAGAGTATCTGATTCCAAACCTATTGTATCTGTTGTCTCCCCCAATTAAATGCCAGCTGCCAATCTTTTTTGTTTGTTTGTTTTAAAGGGAAGGAATGGCAGAGATCAAAAGTAAGTATTCTTTTACCTTTTTAACAGGGATTTTAGCTGGAGCACATTTTAAATATAGCTGCTTTCTAATTGCTCAACTAGGAACCCAAGATCCACTACAACATCATTCATTTCAAATGAAATTTCACATCCACAATCAGTAGACTACAAAAATAAATGTGTAGATTGCTTTCAGGGTATTCAAACCCCCTTCAACTTAAGTGCCTGCAGTGATAAGATTATATTTGAAGACAGAACAACAACAAAAAGATTTTAAGCAGGAGGGCCTTAGATTAGACTGTTAGAATGTCTTGACAGTGGGACAGAGGGTTTAATAGTGTAGTGCTCTTACAGATCTTTCTTCCAAAGCACAGATTATTTTGCCTGAGCTAATGGTTGTATGGTCCTGCCTGATGTAAGTGGAGCAGATTATTTTTCATGGTTTCATATTCACAACCTAGGAACTAGCATTCCTTCGATTTAGAGCCAGTAATGGCTAATCTATCCCTTCCCTCCAGCCTCTAAAGAAAATTTCCAGAAGTGTGCAACTCTGCACCAAAAAGTTTGATAAAATCCAAAAGCAGTATCACACAAGGTGGGAAAGGCAATACTTGGCAGAAACACGGGTTTTATCCAAATATTTGGGTTTTGGATAAAAGTCCCATACAAAGGTTGGTCCTTTCTCCAAGGGACCAAGGAGCCTCCTTGGCCACAGGAAAGAGGGGAAGTTGAGAGAGAGAAGTAAGGGCTGCACTGGGCAAGAACAGGGCATGTTTTGCTTAACAGTTTTTCCCTTGGGGAAAAAAAAGACATTTTATGCACAAGGAGCTTATTTCTTAAACAAACACTCGTGGTTTTGATTTACACCACAGCCTGCTCCTAAATAATTTATGGC